CGTTTGTCCCCCCTCCCTTTGGTTCTCCATAGTCGCTAGATCCTGGTTTTAGGAGCCTTCAACATTGGTTTAAGGATTCAGGAACCGAGTGACGCCAAGTCTATCCTTGTGGAGACCGGCTCAATCTTGCTTTCCAAGAACTCCGTCTTCCATGCAAAGGCTTCCATTTTTACTGCGATGGCCGTGCTTTTGGCTACCCATTCCGTTGTTACCTCCCCTCCCAGTAGGCCGTATGGTATGGTCTCTACGACCTGCCACGGCATCCAGACCAGGTCGCCCTTCAATACTACCGCTTCTTGCAGGACCAGCAGTATCGACCTGATATCCACTGCCAAGTTCCCACTCCCGGAGTCCCCACCTTCTGCTGCGGATTCCATACTTCCCAGGACGTGCACCCTGGTGGGTAGATTCTCGGCTATCAAGTTCCGGAAGTCTTTCTTCGTGCAGGCACTCACCTTCATGCTGATGAGCTGGAGCGAGTGATGGATTGCAACCTCCCAGATGGAGTGCTTCTCGTTCCAGCGACACGGGAGGACTACTCTTTGCTTCGCCCCATTCTTCCCGTCCAGTCTCGCCGCTGCTTCGATTTCTCTTTGCTGACCCTGTGCTATTTTTTGCAGGTTGATCGTTGCCTCCTCAAATTCACGGTTCTGGTCCTTCAGGATATTGACTTGGGCTTCCAGAATAGCGGCTTGTCTCTGCAGATCTTCCTTGGCGCTCTCCTCGGCTTCCTCTATCAACTTCTCTGTCCCCATCCTCTAATCCTGTGAGTCTTGAGTTTGATCCACCCTGCTGCCCTGGTCAGCCTTTGTCCGTAATTTGCGTTTTTTGTTGCTGCGTTTGCTGTCCCTGTGGAGGTAGGACTTTGGCCATTGAAAGCATTTATTATACTCCTCCTGCATGTTGATTTCATTTTTGTTGGGCTGGGACTTCCGTGCATATTGTGCAGCAAAGAACTCGTTTAGCTCTTCCTCCCTTTTCAGTAACTCATAGCGGTTTTCAGATATGAAGTTCCCTGCTGCTTGTGTGGCCTGCTGCAAATTGTGCAAGTGTTTGTGGTGGGCCAAATGCACTTCACATTCTATTTTCCTTCCCCATTCCAGCTGCTCAACAAATTGGACCAATTGTTCCACCGTGTCCTCACCCTCCTCCTCCTCTCCCTCCTCCCTCCTCCTCTCCCTCCTCTTCTCGCGGCCATCGTCTGCTGATTCATCTGAAGAGGCCACCTCCATTGGGAGATCGCTCTGATCTTCCTCTGCCTCCCTTATCTCCTCCTCGGTCATTGGCCCGTGAGATCACATGATGTGCTTGCTATTTCCCCCTCTTTTCGAACTGCCTCTTGAGACTGTTTCTGTGTACTTTCCATTGATTCGCCCTCTATTTTGCTCAATTCAGCTTTCGATTGCTGCTCCGGTCCCAGTCCTTGTTGAGTACCTAATGAGATTGATTCAGATGATTGGCTCCTTTCGCTTGACTGAGTTCTGGCCTCTGACTGCGTTCTCTTGCCCTGCTGTTTTTGTTGTTCTATCTCCTCTGAGCCTCTGGCTTGCGCTTTCCTTTTCAGGGAGGTGCCTGAACTGGAGCTGGAGTTGGTCTTCTCACCTTCCTCTTCACAGTCCATGTTTTCCCCTTGTTGTTCCTGTTGCCCTTGGAGCCGTTCCGATTTTTCTTTTGTACTCTGCTGCCCGTTCTGCCCGTTCTGCCGCTGATCCCGGGCTCTCAGATTCTCTAGGAAAGCCTGTTCCACCGTTTTTCCTACCTGGTGCAGTTCTTCCATAGTGCGCAGTCTCTGTTGGTCATCCTGCATCGCTGTCTCATCAAGCACTAGCTTCGTGAGGAACCCTGTGCCTTTTTCTTCCAGTTCTTTTGGTTCCTGTCTGCCTCCACCCGCTGTCAAAAGGCGGGTATATATCTGGCTTAACATTAGGGGTACCTTTTAGTACCCATATGCACGTTGTCGTTGAAGATCCATCCCCTGTACTGCGCCGAATTGATGTACTATACACTTGGCTTGTTGTCGCGTTCGGCCAGCATCGACTGTCGCAGCGGTGCTTGCTTGCTGCCGACGCTCGTCTGTGGGCACTGCGGTCCCAAGTGGCCTCTTCCCCTACATTTGAAACAGTGGGGGTTTGTCTTGGTGGAAACGAAGATCGTGAGTCTTTGCTCATTCTTCCGGAAGAGTCATTGTTCCGGGAATTCTGGCTGTGCTCCCGACTTGACCTCCAGACAGGCCACACGTGAGTCGTGGTTGGGTGCAAGGAAATCTGGATTGGCTGGGAGCCAGTCAATAACAGGATTGTTTGGGTATTCGTCAGATAGCCTTCTCTGAACAAAGTTGTGCATTCCTTCTGACAAATTGTCAAACTGTACCCAGAAGTGATTCCTCGTCATTGTTTGGCGATGTCTTGATGCTTCGGCCTGTGGGGGCCGCAGTGGTTTCCATGCTTGGATTGTCACCACTGCCCCTCTGCACTTTAGTGAGCCCAGGGATAACAGGTACTGCGCTTAACTTGGGTCAACACATAGAATCATCACCGTGAATTTGCCCCTCTTATGATAGGAGACCTCAGGCTCTTGCCCTTTTACATTCTCCAACGCCCTTAGTGAGAGCTCTCGGTTTTTGCCGGAGAAATTGAATAGGACTGCGTGCCTTTCGTAGAGTTCGTTGAAGGAAGGAATGTCCTGTTCCGGATATTCCCACACATGAACTTCCTCCATATTCCCGGCTTCCCCTTTTATGGTTTCCTTTGTCACTTTGATTTGTGCTGATATTTGCGTTTTTTCCAGTAGGAATTCCATTGCTCTCTGTCCCAACGCCTATGGTTTGAATGCCGCTGCTCCTCCTGATGCTGTTGCTTGTGATGTATCTTGTGAAGACTGACTTACTTGGCCTCGACTAAAATCGTTTTTCTCCTTCTCGCTCATGGCCCTCTGTGCAGCCATGGAGTATGACGCGGCCATGGTTGACCTACCTTCTTTTGAATGGTCCCCTTCCTCCCTCTCACCTGTTCCTCGTGTTGTTATCTGCTTCTTTCTCCCCCACTCTTATCTTCCCTACTCGTCCCCTCCCCTTGTTTTGCGTTAATTTTTAATATTTTTCGTTTTACGTTTTTTACTTGTTTCCTTAGTTTTCTTCTCGTCCCTCCCGACGCTCCGCCAAACCCTTCTTGACTTTGACTCTAATGCCTGCTCCCGATTTCGTTCCCCCCTTGCGTTAGGTCACCCCACCAAACCGAAAGTACGGCTGCGTCCTAAAGAGGAGGCAATTTAACCTCTCTCGTCTACCTCTCTGCACTTTAACTACCCTAACTCTACCTTCCTCCCTGTTACCTTTTTTGTTGTCTTGTTACGCCCGTAGTGTCTTGCTTCCCTCCCTACCACTTCGTTGTCCCCTCTCACTGATCTTCCACTTTCGTTGCCTCTATTTCCGAGCTCGTTTCTCGGCTGCCATGCTCTGGTTTATCTCGCGTTCGTTCCTCGTTTCCCTTGCCAATCTTCTTCCAACCCTTCTTCCCCCTCTTCTCCCTTTGCTCCTCTGGTAATGGCTTGTCTTGCTCTTGCCTTCCTTTCCATTCGGCTTCAGTTCCCCCGCGATGGTGCAACTCCCGTTCCCCTACTCCCCCAAATGGCTCGGCCTGCTCGGCTCCACTTTGCCGCGGGCGTATTGGCGTGCACTCGCGTCGCCCCACGTTCTCACCTGCGATGGCGTTGACACGGGCGCTTGCGATCGGGTTCCGCCCGTCTCGAGCGTTTCGGCGGCAGTGCGTTAGCGCAGCGTTGCACGCTCCCCCTTCGGCGCATTCCGCGGTTCCGCATCAAAAGTGTGTCAAATTTTAATTATTTTATTTTATTTTATTTTTTGAAAACATGGTTGGACTGCGCTCGCCAAGATCTCCCCGAATCCGCAAAAAAAACTTTGAATAGAGAAGTGTTGTTTGGGGGGGTGAAGGGGGGGAGGGGTATTTCAGGGGTTGGGAGTCAGGGATTGGGGGGGTTATGGTGAGTGTGTTAGTGGTGGGGTTTCAGCAAGCACGGGCTTCAGCAGACATTGACAACAATGTACCTGGCTTTCTGCAAACATTAACCTTCCGCCCAAAAACTTTGAAAAGGGGGCTGGGGATGTTAGTGGCAGGGTAGGGACGGTACCACCCAAAAACTTTGAAAAGGGGGGTGGGGGTGATAGTGTTAGGGGGTGCTTGTCACTGCTGTCTGGTCCAAGATGCCCTCGATACTGGTAGGGTGATGGTCCTGAGCGCTGGTCACACTGAGGTATACAATCAGTGGCATATCGACAAATGTCATTATTGTTATGACGAGCACCAGGTCGAGAGGCTTTCCCAGGAGATGTGTTTTCTCTACATTCTCGTTTTTTAGAAAGAGCTGTCAAAATGTCAGACCAAGCTGGTGCAGATAGTCTGACTGCTTTACCTGTTATCGAAACACAAGCTGGATATGTATCTGCTTATATTCCTACCAATGTAATCTCCATTACGGACGGACAAATCTTTCTGGAAACAGAACTGTTTTATCGTGGAATCCGACGCTGGGAGCATTAACGTGGGGAAGGGTAGGGAAGGTGGCCTTTCCTGTCAGGACAACCACCAGCTGCCGTTGCCAGTGATCACCGTGGGGCTAGTCCTTGGCCTCTACAACACCCTGGGCTTAAAAATAATAATAATAGTAATAATAATAATAATAATAATAATAATAATAATATAATAATAATAATATTAATATTAATATTAATAATAATAATAATAATAATAATAATAATAATAATAATATATTAATAATAATAATAATAATATAATAATAATAATAATAATAATAATAATAATAATTGATGCGCTACAGCCAACCGGGGGGGAACTGGCCCGGTCGACCGGCCGGTAGGACCGGTCCGGTTCCGGTTGGGGGAGGGCCCCCCGGTCCTACCGAGTTTGCAGCACTGGTTGATACTACTTGATAGACATGTGACAATATGTACGCCATGTCTGCAGGCACTGCCGTGTTTGCTCTTGCGAATAATGCTTCCACATGCAATTTCCCTCTGAAGCAAACGGGCAAGCAAGATAGGTGTGTGCAGATCGCCAAAAATTTACGGCTGATTGAACTTGCTGAGCTGGACGCAATCAGCAGACCAAAGCCAGTGGCGTTAAGGGGTCAGATTGGTTTCAAGAGACACAGGAGCCAGGCTACTAAACGGCCTTCGCAGGGCAAGATAGTGGCAGAAAATGTCGATTCGGATAAGCCGACGGATGGAGTTATTGGTGCACATGATGAGGGCAAGGAGGACAGTACGAGGACGCCGCCGAGCAATCCCACTTCGCCTCCGACGGCCGTACTGGACTCCAGAAAGAGCTTTGACAAAGGGTCAAGTGGGCAAGATGCCCTTGCAACTCAGCAGGCAGAAGTCGCTGTAGCAGCTGCAGTAGCAACAGCAGCTGACCCGCAGCCAACTGCACATACAACAGATAGCAGAGATCGTCAGATCGCAGAAGATTCAGAAATGGCAGATGATGCGATGGAGGTGACGGAAAATGATGGCGAGGGTCCAGCCGAGTTCAGTGAACCAGGAGACGAGCTGTCAGGGGAGGAAGATGAGCCGTCTGATCAAGCAGACTTTGAACAGGATTATGCTGAAGCGGCAGGGTTGAAAGGGATTTTGTATGGCCGGTTTGAGCTTGAAACAACAAAACGGAAGAGAAGTCAGGTGCAGTGAAGTCAGAAAAAAAAAAAAAAAAAAAAAAAAAAGGCTTCTGAAGCTCTGATGCTATTGCATGTAAAGTAGTCATAACATAAGGAAAATTTGTCTTTTCTTCTTCTTCTTCTTAGTAGTCATTTTTGAAATTTTCCATTCGCTTGAGATTTTTGGAATATCTCATTCACAGTCTGGAATGCAGAGATGACCATGCTTTTTTCTTTTCTTTTTTCCCTTTTCAGACTTCTTGTTTTCCTTTTTTTTTTTCCCTTTTCTTCAGTGACACAGGAGTTGTTATGATGGCAAGTAGATCCAGCGGCCTAGCTCAGTTGGTAAGGCACGCAAGTGGCATTCAGGAGGTCTTGGGTTCAATCCCCATTGGCCTCATGTACCTTCCTGGGCAAGCTTGGCGCTCGCCACCAAGAGATAGGTCGTTGGTCCCCCCGAGTTGCATTGAGCAGGGACTGCTGATGTTCATAGGGGGAGGGGACCGGAGGGGAGGCACGGCGACTGGCCCATCGAAGAAGCTCGGTCCTGATGCTGCCGGCTGACCCCTAGCTGGTATCGCCCACCTGCTGTAGCAGGCGTCACACCTGCTCATGGGTGCAGCTCCCGCATGTTCCCTCGTTGGAGGCTTGAGCACGGATGTGGCTGCTACGGGGTTCCCCGTATTACTATAATGACAATAAAAAAGGCCTGAAGGGCCGTCCTGTCCAGATTTGACAGGTAATTGAATTGGTTGGGCTTAAAGAATTAGCTTTTGTAAATAATAAAAATGATGGCAAGTAGTCATGGATCTGTACATTAAGACCTCGGACCCCCTCCGCCCACGCACGGATTGGTGCCGGCGACCTTGGGCCCAAGAGCCAAGTCTCTTAACCACTACAGACAGGACACGGTATTCCAAAGTGGAACCACACTGGCCGTGATATCCGCCCCACCCCTGTAAGGCTGCAGTGCCCAACTCAACACACAACGACACACAACACCACACGGACGCGGCTTCATTCTCGCGCAATTCGCTCAATCAGCACGCGACCCCCACTGGTACCTCGCCCACTCACTTATGCACGCTTTTGAACAGCCCGCCAGATCACGGGAGCATCCACGGTAGTCATGGATCTGTACATCAGGGCCTAGGACCTCCTCTCCACACGCACGGATGCCAACCGGCGACCTTGCCCCCAAGAGCCTAGTCTCTTAACCACTACATCCACGACACGGTGTCCAAAAGTGGAACCGTACCGGTCGTGATATCCACCCCACCCCTGCAAGGCTGCAAGGCTGCAAGACTGTAGTGTCCAACTCAACACACAGCACCCACAACACCACACTGATGCGGGCAAACAGTCCTCGTACGAGTATGCTTCCAGACTCCCGCCAATTCTCGCAGTGAATGCTATCATTCAGCAGGGAGTCTCGAAGCATACTCGTATGAAGACGTGTTGCCCTGAATATGACCTTTTTTTTTTTTTTTCTTTGAAAGGGCGGCGGCCTTGAGGTATGATCATCGAACTGATTGGCCCCAGGTAATTCAGAATTGCCTTTTTTTTTTTTTTTAATCATCCGATTCAAGTAAGTCCATCAGGGTTCCAACACGGGGCTGTGTTTTTTAAATCAACAGTTATACGGCTTTACCATTCAGCCACATAGGCTGGATACAGTTGGAAAAGCCCTAGAGTGACTATGCCCTCACTGCTGTCTAATGGTTGTGCAGACAACCTCCTGCTCAACTGGCAACTCACACGAATAACAGGGGTCCTTAAACCACCACTCCAACTGCTCCCGCATTGTTCTTCATTTTGCTTGTCTACAAGTACCGGGCCAAAATCTACAGTGCCCAGGCTCCGGTGAGGAAGAGTACCACAATTATTTTTCTTAGGGTGGCACTGTACATTTTTGGCTTGGGGAACTGCAACTTTTGGTTTGCCAAAACAGGTCCGGATGGAGTGGTGGTTTAAACCACGAGTACTTCCGAGAAAAACTCATTTGGCTGTAGCACCGATTTCCTTCGAGGATCACCTTCCCTTTTTTCTTTGCTTTTTCTTTTTTTTTAATACAGGAAATGTGTTTATTTAACTTTATTATGGGTCCGGTGCCCGAGGCTAGGAAAAACAACATTGCATAGTTCATAGGAGGAAGATTCAGGGGCCGGTAGGCCTCCAGCCCTTAAACCACCAATACATGGTGCAGCTATCGATGCCGTGCCTTGATGCCCCCTGCGCGCCAAGTCTTGCCGAACCGCGGGAGCGCCGCTTCGTTTTCCTTTTGCCTTTTGGCTGGAGCTTCCGGCCATTTTCTGGTCCGGTACCCCGAAGCTCGCAGGTCGCGGCCCGTTAACGTGAAATGCCCACGGCCAATATCGGGGCCAAGTACTGGTGGTTCAGGCAGAGCCCCCCCCCTGTAGGGAAAAAAAAAAAAAAAAAAAAAAAAAACCCAGACAAAAGAGTTGAAAACTTGAAAAGACTAGAAGCCTAAGAGAGGATGTCGTCTTTTTTCTTCTTTTCAAGGGCCAACGGCCTGGACTGACCGTCCCCAGGTAAATTCATAGTTTACTTCACTCGTTTTTTTTTTTTCCGGAGTTACTTCACTCTGTGTTGATAACACTTGCAACACAACAACAACAACAACAACAACAACAACAACAAAAAAAAAAAAAAAAAACACGTGCACTTGAAGTCAGGTTTGTATTGTAATAGTTCATGGGTGTACCAACTAAGGTAGGCCCGCTAATGAAAATCGACTTCTCAAGTCTGTGGAGCAGAAGCCTTACTTTCCTTCGTTCTTTTTTTTTTTTTTTTTTTAATTCATTTAAGCCCAACCAATTCAATTACCTGTCGAATCTGGACAGGACGGCCTTTCAGGCCCTTTTTATTGTCATTATACTATGATTATAGTATTACGGGGAACCCCGTAGCAGCCACATCTGTGCTCAAGCCTCCAACGAGGGAACATGCGGGAGCTGCACCGACCAGCAGGTGTCATACCTGCTACAGAAGGTGGGCAATACCTGCCAGGGGTCAGCCTGTAGCAGCAGGACCGAGCTTCTTTGATGGGCCAGTCACTGTGCCTCCCCTCCGGTCCCCTCCCCGTATGAGCATCTTTATTGTTTCTGTGCTCCTTCCTCTCTTTCTTTCTTTCTTTCTTTCTTTCTTTCTTTCTTTCTTTCTTTCGTTTGGAACAAAGGGGGGCAGTTTCTTAGCTCTAACCTTATTGTATGCGGCAAACTCGGATATGTCTCTTAGCAGCTGCATGTGTGTGTGGCAATTGTGTTACTGTGCTTATATTTTTCTGAAAAAAAGAGAAAAGCGGCTCTCGACTATTGGTCGGGAGCAGCATGGGGCTGGAAAAGGTGTCCGCTGTCCCAAAAGCCCAATTTGCACAAACAGGTTCCAACACTGGCCTGGAAGCCACCAAACGCACTCTCTAGAGTCGCTACTAGAATGAGGCACCGTTCATCAATGCACTTCATCAGCATGACCTTCGCATGGCACAGGAGTAGACACTTAGGGCATACTCACACTAGGACTTTTTTCCTTATTTATGGACGTAATTGCAGTCAGATACATCCAGGTCCGGCCGTAAATGCGGTCAGATACATCCAGGTCCGTCATTAAATGCGGTCAGATACATCCAGGTGCGGCCGTAAATGTGGTCAGAATCGTCAGATACATCCAGGTCCGGCCGTAAATGCGGTCAGATACATTTAAACCGTCAGTTCACAGCCCTACCTAGCCTTGCAGAAAAAGCAGTTTGTCTCATACAAAAATTTCGGAGGCTCTCAGGGCTACCCGACCACAATGTCTGGCGGCGCCAGCCAAAGCAGACAAAAGGTGCGCCGCTGGCGGTTGGGCAAAGCTTAGCGTGTAGAGCGGCGCCGCCAGGCCCGGGTGCACTGGTGGTCGAAGATAGAGCTAGTGTGAGTACGCCCTTAATTACTGGTTCATTGATTGTGAAAGAGCCTTTTTCACCCAATGTAGGCCTCAGGCCTTGTAACTAAGCAACGTGGGCCATGTAAAAGTAAAGCAGCCTGAAAGGGTATCTCGCCAGGGCTCAGAAACGTGAAAAGCAGGTCAAAAGTCCAAGTTCTCTACCAACGGGCACATCCTGAAGCAAAGGGCATTGTCAAAAGACTTACCTGTTCGCCAGCAGTTGTGTAGGTCATGAATAAGGTGTGTCTGTACGAGCAGCCATTGTGCCTGTTCGTGTAAAGAAGAGAAGTTGTGTCTGTATATGCAATGCTGATG